AAAAAAAAGAAAGGGAGATAAAAAAGAGGACACACTTAATTGATTTGAAATGTGGTCTATGYCTCACAACTCAAAAGAGTTTCAATGCTGTAAGTTAAAATTCCTGGAGACTCATCACACCACAATGTGAAAATATKTAACACTACTGAACTGTATACCTAAAAATGGCTAATGGTAAATTTAATGTTGTGAGTTTTTACTATAAAAACACACAAACCAACCAACCTGTGGTCATTACTTCAAGTCAATAGAGAAGAAAGGACCTGCAAAATGAATGGGAATGTATTGGACAAGGGAAGAAGGAAGACGGAAATGAGGTSAAATTGGCCATAGTATACAGGTCCTATTTCCCATTCCAGCAATCAAAGTCTCWTTGGAGGCATTTTACATATCCATGATGGTTTACAGAATTTGTCYTAGGTTTACAGAGTTCTATTTTCATTTAGTTGTATTTGCTTTTTTAGAGGACTAAACAAAGCATTTGTGAAATCTTTCCTACAAATGAATTGTTAACCACTTTTTATGTTACATGTTCTGATTTTCTTGGCAAAGAACATTGGGCCTCTAATGATGATCTTTCTTTCAGGCTWTACTGGACCCATTGAGGCACCTAATTCTCTCTGAGGGATTCTTTCCCTTTCTCCCTTCCCCTCCTGAAAYTTTAGGGCACTGTAAGTGGAGGTGATCTGATGGGTGGGGGAGGAAAGCCTAGATGTTTCTGTGTCTGTGGTCAGCAGTGGTGCAGCCAGTAGAGGACTGATGTCAGCAGCTCTGCCAGCTCCTGATGAAAAATTGGAAGACAATGCCTTTGCTCCCAGACTTCCTTGCATTCCTCTTTMTTTAAGAACAGATGAGACCCAGTCTCTTTGTTACTTTCTTCTCAGCTATTTGGGGAGCAAGAGAAGACATTCTCTTAAGATAATGTTTCCTTTATAGAGGTTCATCATCTCCTCAGCACAAGCTCTCCATGAACAGTAGTTTCCTGCCCCTCATCCTGGGATTCCCTATTGCTTGAGCCCAGATTTATATCCAATTCCCAAATGGGTTACCACACTTAAGTCTCAATGGTGGCCAAAGAAGCCCTTAGTCAATGACAGGAAAGCATGTACATTTTTAATTTTTTTTTCAAAGAGAGTGAGAGAGAGGGGGGGGGAAGAGAGAGAATTTTTAATATTTATTTTTTAGTTTTTGGCGGACACAACATCTTTGTTTGTATGTGGTGCTGAGGATCGAACCCTGGCCACACGCATGCCAGGCAAGCGCACTACCGCTTGAGCCACATCCCCAGCCCCGCATGTACATTTTTAATCTACCATCTTTCTAGAATGTTCATTCAAGAATTCCWCTGTTTGTGGCCTATTTAATTTTTAACTTGTAGAACTAAAATTATAAAGGGCCATTTTCTGTGTGGGTGTCAGAATCAATGAAGATAGATGGAAAGTCACTTGATCTGGTAATGTTTCAAAATTTAATTAAAATGCCTTTATAGAAATTTTTGATAAAATTTATTATATCTATATTTGTCCTTATGCTCTCAGAATATCTTGCTTAGAAAATCCAAGGCCATCTTAAATTTTTAAAAGTTTGTCTTTTCCTTTATCTTATTTTAAAATATTAATTTTTATATCCATTTGAAATTTRTTTTGTAACAGTTATTAAAGTAGGCACACAAATTWATTGCTTAACATCTAAATGACTCTCCATTCACAATGACATGTTTTAGCAAATATAACACATTTTTCTAATTTTTATTTTAACTAGATTTCTGTAAGTATTGCTGTTTGGACTTTCTACTATGTTGCATTGATATGCTTATGTATGGCTTTCTAATGACATTCTTTTTCACTTAGTCTACATTATATTTTATCATATTAAATGAGAAGGAACTGTTTTGAGAATTTGAGGACTTCCTCAAGTCTGAAGTTGTCTGCAGTACCGCTTTTGGTCTCTAGAGGGAGATGCTGAGCAACTTGAACTATCAGAAAACCAGAAGGCAAACCCGGCTCTCTGAGGAGCATTTTGCAGCTCAGAGAGGTTAAACTCGGTGCCCTGTCAGGGGTCGGTGTTTCCAGAACAGAACCTGCTGTGTCCCTGTGGTGGGACATGACACCCATCCTCATCTCAATGCTCGTGATGATACTCACATTCGGTGAGTAAAAAGGTGCTTTTCATTCTGTCTGTCGGTGAACTGTGATGTAGAATCAGTTTAAAGAATTGTTCTCCACGGTCTAATTAGTTTGTTTGTTTTTTTTTTTTTTTCCTGATCCATAATTGGCATTCAGGAGGAATCAGAGCCCAGACAGTGACCCAGCCAGAGGAACACATCGCTGTCTTTGAAGGGGCCCTGGTGCAGGTGAAGTGCAACTACTCCTATACGGGGAGCCCTGTGCTCTTCTGGTATGTCCAGTACCCTGGACAAGGCCTCCAGGTCCTCCTGAAACAAATCTCAAGGGATAGCGCCAAAGGATTCACAGCTGCTCTCGACAGAGGGGAGAAATCCTTCCACCTGCAGAAACCCTCAGCTTATCTGGACGACTCAGCCACATACTACTGTGCTCTGAGTGCACAGCAACTGCGCTTGCAGGGGAAGCTGAGCAAAAACCCTTCAGAGTGACACAGAGCGCTTCCTGTCAGCTCTGTCTGTGTTCCCAGTGAGGCATTCTTCCTCCAGAGCTTGGCATTGAGTGTGCCTCTAAGATACAGTATCTTATCATGGATCAGTTAGCTTCGATGGACCTCAAT